ATGCATTAATAACAGGAACATGGAATGTACAGAATATGAATCTAGGAAAATTAGAAGTCATCAAAAATGAAACGGAATAATAAATAGTATAATTTTTATAATAGTATAAAGATCGATATCCTAGGAATTAGTGATCTGAAATGGACTGGTATTTGTCATTCTGAATCAGACAATCATGTGTTCTACTATGGCACAAACAACAACTTAAAGAGGAATGGCATTGCATTCATTGTCAGAAAGAAATCCAAGATCTATCCTGAAGCACAACATTGTCAGTGATAGGATAATATCCATGCACCTACAAAAAGACCAGTAAATATGACTATTATTCAAATTTATGCACCAACCACTAATAACAAAGATAAAGGAATGGAAGATTTTTACCAACTCTGTAGTCCCAAATTGATCAAGCATGTAATCAAGATGTATTGATAAAGAGAACCTATAGATTAGGAAAAATATTTGGCAATGACATATTTGACAAAGAACTTACCTCTCAAATTTATAGAAAACTCCAACACCTCAACAACAGAAAGTTAAACAATCCAATTTAAAAATGGGCAGAAGACATGAATAGACACTTCACCAAGGAGGATATTCAGGTGGCCAAAAAACACATGAAGAAATGTTCATGATTATTAGTCATTAGAGATACAAACTGAAACAACGAGATACCATCTTGCCCAGCACTAGTAACAAAGTTCAACAAGACAGAAAATAACAAATGCTGGCAAGGATGCGGAGAGATTGGGACTCTCATACACTGCTGTTGGGACTGTAAAATGATACAACCATTGTGGAATGCAGTATGGTGATTCCTTAAAAAGTTGGAATGAGAAATACCATTTGATCCAGCCATTCCATTAGTAGGTATATATCCTAGAGAAGTGACAGCCAGGACAAGAACAGATATATGTACACCCATGTTCATCACCACATTATATACTATAGCAAAAAGATGGAAACAACTTAGGTGTCAATCAACAGAAGAATGGATAACCAAACGATGGTACATACACAAAATAAAATACTATGCAACCCTGAAGAATAATGTAGAATCTGCAAAACACCACATAATGTGGATGAACTTGGAGGACATTATGCTGAGTGAAATAAATCAATCACAGAAGGACAAATATTAGTTCATTATTGTAAAAAGTCAAGGAAAAGTTTATATATAGAAGGAAACAGTTATCTGGGATGGGAGGGGATGAGAAGGAGACTGAAAAAATAATTTAAAAAAGAAAGAAAGTTGCATTGATAATTTCTGGTGATTGGAATGTGAAAGATGGAAACAAAGAAGAAGGATCAATAGTTGGAAAATATGGCCTTGGTGATAGAAATGACACTGGAGATAGTATGACAGAATTTCACAAGACCAATCACTTATTCAAGCAAGTAAAGTTTTGCTGAGGATTATTCAAAAATGATTGCAGCAGTACATCAACAGGGAACTTCCAGAAATTCAAGCTGGATTCAGAAGACAATGTGGAATGAGAGATATCATTGCTGATGTTAGACAGATGTTGGCTGAAAGAGAGAAGACCAGAAAGACATTCATCTGTGTTTTATTGACTGTGTAAAGGCATTTTACTGTGAGGATCATAAAAATTATGAATAATATTGAGAAGAATGGGAATTCCAGAACACTTAACTGTGCTCATGCAGAACCTGTACATAAACCAAGAGGCATTCATTCGAAGAGAACAAGGAGATACTGCATGGTTTAAAATCAGGAAAGATGTGCAGCAGGGTTGTATCCTTTCACCATACTTATTCAATCTATATGCTGAGCAAATAATCTGAGAAGCTGGAGTTTATGAAGAAGAACATGGCATCAAGATTAGAGGAAGACTCATTAACAACCTGTGATATGCAGATGACACAACCTTGATTGCTTTTCATCTCTTCAGAGGGCTTGCTTTTCAGATTACTTGAAGCACCTACTGATAAAGATCAAAGACTACAGCCTTTAGTATATATTATACCTCACTATAAAGAAAAACAACAATCCTTACAACATCATGATAAACAGAGAAAAGATTGAAGTTGTCAAGGATTTAATTTTACTTGGATCCACAATCATTGACCATGGAAGCAGCAGTCAAATCTAAAGAAATACTGCATTGGGGAAATCTGCTGTAAACAACCTCTTGAAAGTATTATAAACCAACAATGTGACTTTGAGAGCTAAGGTGTGCCTTACCCAAGCCTTAGTATTTTAAATCACCTCAAATGTATGCAAAAGCTGGATAATGATTAAGGTAGGCCAAAGAAAAACTGATGCCTTTGAATCATGGTATTGGTAAAGAATACTTAATATACCATGGACTGACAGAAGAATGAACAAATCTGTCTTGGAAGTATAGCCAGAATGCACCTTAGAAGCAAGGATCATTGTTGTTGTTAGGTGCTGTCAAGTCATCTCTGACTCATAGCGACCCTAGAACAAAACACTGCCCGGTCCTGCACCAGCTCCATGATTCTTGCTACACTTGAGACCATCACTGCTGCCACCACGTCAATCCATCTCGTTCAGGGCCTTCCCCTCTTTCGTCGACCCTACACCTTACCAAGCATGACATCCTTCTCCAGGGAATGGTCCCTTCTCACAACATGACCAAAGTAGGTGAGATGAAGTCTGGCCATTCTCACCTCCAAGGAGCATTCTGGCTGCACTTCCTCCAGGACAGATTTATTAGTTCTTTTAAGCAGTCCACGGTACTTTCAGCATTCTTCACCAATACTACAGCTCGAAAGCATCAATTCTTCTTCGGTCTTCCTTATTCATTGTCCAGCTCTCACATGCATAGGAGGCGATTGAAAATACCATGGTTTGTGTCAGGCGCACCTTAGTCCTCAAGGAGACATCTTTGCTCTTCAGAAGCAAGGATGGCAAGACTTTTTCTCAAGTACTTTTGACATTTTATCAGGAGGAACCAGTCCTGGAGAAGATCATCACACTTAGTAAAGTAGAGGGGTCAAAGAAAAAGAGAAAGACCCTCATTGAGATAGATTTGGCACAATGGCTGTAACAATTGGCTCAAATGTAGCAATTTGAGGATGGTTCAAGACCAATCAGAGTTTTTTTTTCTGTGGACACAGGGCCACTATGAGTCAAACTGACTCGATGGTACCTAGCAACAAGAACAGCTCATCAATGTACTTCTTCTGGCTAGATCCAGAAGCTATTTCTTTGTTCTTAGCTTTCAGTTCTGGTAGCGTAGTGCTAAGGCACTTGACTGCCAACCAGAAGGCTGGCAATTCAAACTCACCAGCCACTCCTCGGAAGGAAGATGGGGCAATCTATTTCTGTAGTGATACTGCCTCAGAAACCCAAGGAGGGGTCGCTATGAGTCAGGTTCGACTCAACGGCACATAACAACAACAACAGCTTTCAGTACAGTTGGCATTTGCTCACCCTTGCAACACTGTCTTCGCTCTGCTTGCACACCATGAATAATCTCTTTCCACCTCACAGGCTCTTTTTCCCATAAATATTCCTAGCTACTCCATAATGCAGGAGCTCTGGTAGCATAGTGGCTAAAGCACTTGACTGCTAACTAGAAGGCTGGCGGTTCAAACCCACCAGCCACTCCTTGGAAGGAAGGTTGGGCAATCCTACTTCCCTAGTGATACTGCCTCGGAAACCCAAGGAGGGGTCGCTATGAGTCGGAGCCGACTCGACGGCACATAACAACAACAACAACAACACTCCATAATGCTAGAGCTCTCCAGGGTTTATTCTGGATCTTCTACTCTTCTTTACCTTCCTTTCCATCAATCATCCTCTAAGTGATCCCATTCGGTTCCATACCTTTAAATACCCCACCCTTGAGATGACTACCAAAACCCCATCTCTAATCTGCACCACCGCTTTCAGCTCCAAGTTGAGTGCATCTAGTTGCTTACTTAACATCCCTCCTTGGCTATCTAAGATATAAGTACCTTAGACTAAATTTTCCCAAAGAAAATTATGATTAGTAATACCATTACTGTCTGCCTTGTTCAGAACTGTCTGCCTTGTTCTGTCCAGAACAGTGCCTGAACCAGAGTTGACTTCAAGGAATCTTTGAATGAATATTAAGTGAAAACAAAAAATACCTATCTACAAAATTGTACAATTACATTTAAAAAATGTTATAGATAGGCATTAGTCGTAGTAAAAAATAAAAAATGTTAAAAAAAAGTGGATGTACACGAATGGTGAAATTTTAGGTTTCCCCCCACACTTTCCCATTTTATATAGAGTGTGGTGGGTGAAAATATAAAATTTGGACTCAGATTAACCTTTGCCAGATTCCCACTCACCGGCTGCACAACCTCGGTGTCCTCCTTTGTCAAAAGGGCTTATTAACGTCTACCTCATTTGTGTTTATGTAGCGTACAGTTGCGTTTAACTGTGAAGTTGTGCATGTAAAGAGCTTCTTTGCACGGTGCAGAGTACATAGTGAGCGGCATTAACTGTTACTTAGCAATCACGAAAGGCATTTTTATTATAAACCTGTATTTAAGGCAGTAAAAGAACCTGTTGTTGTTTGCCTTCAGACGCGACTCATAGCTACCCCTCCTTAGGTTTCCAAGGCAGTATCACTACGGAAGTAGATTGCCCCATCTTCCTTCCGGGGAGTGGCTATTGGGTTTGAACTGCCAGCCTTCTGGTTAGCAGTCAAGTGCCTTAGCCACTATACTACCAGAGCTCCCAAAAGGACCTACAGAACCACGTATATTCAGTCCACGTGACCTCTCCTTCCACGCCCCCGGTTGGCTTCGCTGGGAGAGTGCGCCTGCTCCTTGTGTTTCTTCCGCCCACGTGACACACTCAGGCTCCTCCCCGTTTCCAACATGGCAGCGCCCAGGGTCTCAGGCCGCACGTGAGGAAGAGTCTGGGCACCCGGGGATCAGAGAGTGCCAGTGTGCGAGCCACTTTCCCCTGCCTACAGTCATTGGATCCCTTCGGCCCTTCCCGCTCCCTCGTGGGCCGCTGCCCCTCTGCAGCCATGAAGACAAAGCCTGTTTCCCACAAGACCGAGAACACGCACCGGGTGAGCTAGGGAACTTGGGTCCGGGGCCGCGGGTTCCAGCCGCCTCACCCTAGGACTGGCTCTCAGCTCAACTTCCAAGGTTGCGGAGGTCTGAGCCTAGCGTAAGCATCTGCCCGAGACTCCAGTAAAGTTGGACTCTCAGGGTGTGGTAAACATGGGGTAGATAAGGCGCCGGAAAGAGACACATCATCTTTTGCTTGACGGGTCTGTGTGGTCTGGCCCGCCGTGGGAATTACATTCTTCATTTCAGAGTTAAATTCAGTGTTACAGGGAAAGTGTTGAATTGGTGGCTGGGACGACGGAAAGACGGGAGTGATCTCCAGCTAATAGCGTCTGCACCACTTTGTGTTTGCTTCTTGATAGTTTCTTTGCAGATTTAGTGAGGCCACATCATCGGCGTTCATCTATGTGGCATTCGCCACAGCCAAATGCTGAAATTTTATTTGAAACGACAGAGCTGAAAGAGCTAATACAGGAAGAGAATCTATGTAGGAGATCCTGGATAGAGAGGGAGAACAATGTGGAACAAAACTCAAAACGATTAGGAGGAAGAAAAAAAAAAAAAAGGGGGACCAGGTTTGCTGGCCCGATAGAGCCTGGTGGAACCACTGAGACTATGGCCCCTAGCTGCCCTTCAGGTCTGGAATTGAACCCACACCTGTGGTTTCCAGCCAAACAGAGTACAGGCATGTGAGTTAAACATTTACCTCAAGTAGATACACGCCTTAGAACAATCATGGGAGAAAGAAGGGCAGCTTATGCACAGGGAGACAGCTCAGGGGGCAAGGAGTGTATGGAGGGATGGACACTGGGAAGAGGTAACTATGGGGAGGAAGTGGGAGGGGAGCCGTTGCATTGTGGTAAACTGAGGTCAATGACATGAGACAAAGTACATGTGAACTGCTGTGTGGAAAGTGAATTTGCTCTGTAAATCTACACCCAAATCACAATAAAAAAAAAAAAAAAGAGCTAATACAAACATATTCATGGAAGTATTCATTTTCATTGAACAGAAATGCAGTGCATTTGTTTAAGGCTCTGTATTTTTCTGTTTATTTTTTACATTTAGCCTATGTGATTCATCATTGTTGTCTGAGTTTCAAAAGTCAATTATACATTTTATGATGGATAGAAAACACAGGTCTGAAATTAATCACTATAGCAAGCAAAGCATGCTGTTAATTTGTAGTGATAGTCGATGAAAATGTTTATTGAAGTATTCAGAAGAAAGCTGAGGACTGAAGCTATAAACTTGCAATGCTATCCAAAAAAATTGCCCACACGTGTACTGTACAGTATTTAGACAGATCCTCAAGATGGGGTAAGTATAAATGACAGTATATCTTAGATATGCTTTTTCTCCCCAGTTTCTTACATTTGCTGAACGACTAGGGAATGTGAATATCGATATCATTCACCGAATTGATAGGACTGCAAGCTATGAAGAGGTAAGAGAATGTATAGTAGCCAAATCTTCAATTATTTATAGTCATTTGTTTAGTTTCTTAGTAGAAATGAATTGTTTTTCAGCCCATTCTTTTTGAGTGTGAAATGTATTACACCTGTGCTGTTCAATACTGTAGCCTCCTGTGGCAAATTAGATTTAAATTAAAAATTCAAGTGCTCAAAAGCACTAAACCACCAAACCCACTGCCATTGATCTAGGACAGAGAGGAACTGCATTATAGAGGTTTCCAAGGCTGTAAATCTTTACAGAAACGGACTGCCTCATCTTTCTCCCACAAAGTGGCTAGTGGGTTTGAACTACCAACCTTTAACCACTTTAACCTCCGCACCAACAGAGCTCCTTTTCTATGTGTCTGATGTTGTTGTTATGTGCTGTCAAGTCAGACCCAACTCATAGCGACCCCTCCTTGGGTTTCCGAGGCAGTATCACTATGGAAGTAGATTGCCCAACCTTCCTTCTGAGGAGTGGCTAGTGGATTTGAACCGCCAGCCTTCTGATTAGCAGTCAAGTGCCTTAGCCACTATGCTACCTGAGCTCCCTTTCTATGTGTCTAGTTGCTATCATATTGGACAAGTGTGGATATAGAACATTTCCATTTGTTGCAGAACGTTTTGTTGGATGGTGCTGTGTTAGACAATTACTTGACAGAAAGGCCATATTACTGCCCCAAAAAGTTGTAGCGATTTGTATTTTCACAAACAGAATGAAGGAATTGTAAAAAGATAGCCTATTTTGCTGAGCATAACACTGTAAAAAAGATAGAAAAATATATTCCCTTGGTGTGACTGTTATATAGATTTTAGACAATTAATTGATGCAATCAAATTGACAGAGCATTGTTTTTATAAGTCATCCATTGCTTTTTAAAGTTTTTTAGTACCTTTTTTAAAAAGAAAAGTAATTTTTAAACTTGACTATCATCGTCTTAAGTTTTTTTTGACTGTCATCTTAGTTTTTCTTTGAGTTAATGGACTGTTTTGGTCTTGGCAGGAGGTTGAAACCTACTTTTTTGAGGGCCTACTGAAATGGAGAGAATTGAACCTTACGGAACACTTTGGTATTTGTCTCTATTTTATTCACCCATCGTTTGTACTTTGCATGTTCAAAACAATGACATAGTGGTATGAAGGAAGAACATAATCTGTTCTTTTTCTTTTTTCACCCAGGGAAATTCTACAAAGAAGTTATTGACAAATGCCAGTCGTTCAACCAGTTGGTCTATCATCAAAATGAGATAGTTCAGAGTTTGAAGACTCACCTGCAAATTAAGAACAGTTTGGCCTATCAGCCCCTTTTGGAGTAAGTAACATCTTGAGAGAGAGCTTGACAGCATTTGTCTGAATTTTAGGAAAAGTTGTGTCTCGTTGGTGCATGTGCCTTAGATAGAAACCAGAGCAGTTTACCTTTGGTATTGTTGTTGTTGTTGTTTACCTTTGGTATTGTTGTTGTTGTTATGTACTGTCGAGTTGAACCCGACTCATAGTGACCCTTTCTTGGGTTTCTGAGGCAGTATCACTATGGAAGTAGATTGCCCTATCTTCTTTCTGAGGAGTGGCTGGTGGATATGAACTGCAGCCTTCTAGTAGTAGTCAAGTGCCTTAGGCACTACATTGCCAGATCTCCTACCTTTGGTATTAGATTGCAATATTAAGAAAAGAAATATTACCATAAAGCAGAATCTTAAGGTTTTTTTTTTTTTTTTGACTTTTCATTTTTATGCCTAAAGGGAGAGGGGAGAGACCGGTTGCTCTAGAGTTGATTCTGACTCATAGCAACCCTGTGGGACAGATTCAGATTGCTCCGTAGAATTTCCAAAGCTGTAGTCTTTTATGAAAGTAGACTGCCACATCTTTCTCCTAAGGAGCAGCTGGTGTGTTTGAACTGCTGACCTTTCCATTAGTAGCCAAGAGCTTAACCACCAGGGCTCCTTGTATACTCCTAAGAGAACCCCATTTTTCTTTGACACTGGAGAAATGATTGGCTGCAACTTGTGATGGAATGTACCGTCTTTGTCTAACATGATTTCTCTGCTGAGCTCCTTAAGATGTGAACGGTTTCATACTTCTCTTAGACATATTTTGCTTTAATTAATCCTGTGATTATAGCCCATTGACTGCTATCATTTGTGAAATAGATTTGCAGCCTTTGTTTATTCATCTGTGTCTCTCAGAATCAGTGGCTTCTATTTATTTATTTTAATTAGTGGTAAAAATGTATGTAACAAAATAAAACGTGCCATTTCAACACTGCTTACATGTACAATTCATTGACAGTAATTACATTTATCATGTTATGCAGCCATCACTACTATCTGTTGCAAGATTTTTCAGTCACCCTTAATGGAAACTCAGTGCCCCTTAAACCATAACCTGCTTCTATTTTTAATCCAGCTTGGTTGTGCAGTTGGCACGAGATCTGCAGACGGACTTCTATCCACATTTTCAAGATTTTTTTCTGACCATCACTTCAATCCTGGAGACTCAGGACACAGAGTTGTTGGAGTGGGCGTTCACCTCGCTGTCCTACCTCTACAAATACCTGTGGAGACTGATGGTGAAGGACATGTCCAGTATATATAGGTGCCCTCTTTCTCTCCCAGTATTTGTTAAAATAGTTTTTGGCCTTTTTCCTGACTTCTCTCTGACTCAAAACTGCTTCTCCAGCTTGCTCTCTTAATATTTCTTTATACAAAGTTGGTTTTCCAATCAAAGTGGTCCACAGTCTATTCCTCTAGTCTTAAATCTGCATTGATTTGACTTTGTCTTACCTCCAGTTATTAAAATCATACCCATCTGTCAAAGCCTGACTTGAATCCTATAAGCCTCACAAATATCCCTGTGTACCTTAGTGAGAAGCGAACGCTCTGTGCTCTGAATCCTTCTGCATTTTGTACCACTTCTATTTCACGACTTTCATTGTAATTGCTTCCCTATATTGTAATGATGCCCTCTACAAACCTGTGAAGTCTTTAAGAACTCCATCCTAAGCATTTGCATTTTTCCCAGACCCTAACATACTTTGCTAAGCCAAGAAATGCTTAGTTGTGAGTGAATGTGGATAGGGAGAGAATTAATTACATAGTAACTTTTTGTTTAAAGTAAGAGAAAGATTGCTTCTTTCCTGATTAATTCTGGGATATGATGGAATTTTCCATTTGGTCTCCTGGTTGTTTCTATGTATGAAAGTTGCTGTAGGAATACCAAAGATCAACTCCTTATCCGGCAGTGAAAAGTGCAGATGGGGGTAGGACAGTAGGTTTGGGTTTTTGTTCCCCTTCCATACCTCCCTTTTCTGAGGCCCTTTGGATAAAGAATGAGAAATACTTTGCCAGCCTTTGCTAGTTCTCTAATGAAGCTTTTGGTAAAATATATTAGAAACCTGAGGTTACTTCATTAAACAATCAACAAGGTCTTTGGGGAACATAGTTCATTTGTTTTCATGATTGAAGCTATCATTTTTAAGTCTTCTAAGTCCTAAGTGTTGTCTGTCCAAGTCAGGTGTCCTAAGTGGGCTATGTTGAATGCCCACTGCAGTGAAATCTGTGAGAGCTGGAACATAATGGCACTTCCTTGTTTTTCCAGGGTTCAAAAGGTTTTCGCCTTTGATGACATAGTCTAACACTTTTCCCTCACTCTCTATTTATTGAAAAATATTTGCGTTTTGCTTCTTTCACGGGTTTCTGCCTTACACAGGATCAGGCTTTTGCAGGTTTTACTCTATAAGACAGGCCCTATTGGTTGCCCGTTTTCTAACAGTGATACCACTATTCTCTGATTACCAAGAGTTGGCGCCTTAGAGGCATCTGTGACCCAGTTGCCTTCAGGAACTCTTGGTGGTATTATTTGCTCAGTGAATATTTGTTGAGCCCTGGCTATGTGTCAGGTACTTGAGATACAGACAGGTAAAAATCTGGGCTCTGGTGGAGTTTACATTTTAGCTGTGGGAGAACATCTTGGGTGTGTGCCTGGTGTGTTCAGTACACAGCAAGGAATCCTGGGGGTTGGAACAGAGTGAATAAGGGGGAGAGTAGTTAGCCAATGCCGAGAAGTGGGTAGGTGGGTAGTGGGTGTGGTCTTACAGGGCCTGTGGAGGCCTGTAAGGTCTTTCTGCACTGCAGGGACTCTTGAAATGTCTCTTCAGCCCATCTCTTGCCATCTCCTTCTACCACAGCCTCTTTCATGCCTTTCTCCACCCAAGCTTGTATGAGTTGATCAGCTCTCTAATTAGACTGCCAGCCTCTTGTTTCTTCATTTCATCCTATATGCAGTGCCAAATTAATCTTCCTGGAAATAATAATTTCTCATTTATATTTAAAAATAAATAAATAAAACACTGCAGCGAGGCGATTCTGAATCCTGATGACCCTGTAGGACAGAGTAGAACTGTTCCAAGGAGCTCTGGTAGCATAGTGCCTAAGGCACTTAACTGCTAACCAGAAGGGTGGCGGTTCAAACCCACCAGCCACTCCTTGGAAGGAAGGTTGGGCAATCTACTTCCATAGTGATATTGCTATTGTTGTTGTTATGTACTGTCGAGTCAGACGACTCCTCCTTGGGTTTTGGAGGCAGTATCACTATGGAAGTAGATTGTCCCATCTTCACCTTAGAAACCCAAGGAGGGGTCGCTATGAGTCAGGGCCAACTCGATGGCACATGACGACAACAACAACAACAACAAAGAACTGTTCCATAGGGTTTCCAAGGCTGTAAGTCTTTATGGAAGCAGAGTGCCTCATCTGTCTCTTGTGGAGTGACTAATGGATTCAAACTGCCAAGCTTTTGGTTAGCAGTCAAATGTTTTAACCACTATGCCACCAGAGCTCCTTATTTCTCATGTAGCCAGTATTTATTAGTACATGCTATGAGTAAGGAATGTGAGGTACTAGGGAGAGACATAGTCCATGATCTTCTGATGTTGGGGAGATGGATTTAAGCAATATAATTATTATGCAAGTGATTATTTTGTTGTAGTGGTGATCTTGAATAAGTTGCTTAGCCTTCTGCCTCAATTTTATTTCTGTAGAATGGGGCTACTAGTACCTGCCCCATTGAGTTATTGTCATGATTGAATGACATATCACAGAATAAACACCCAGTAAATGTAATCTAGAGCTCACACACCTTGTGTGATGTTCCTAGCTATCTATTACTTCAGCAGCTTTATCTGCAGCTGCCTTCCCTGCCCACGTGTTCTTCCTCTTTTAGACAGAGCACCCTCCTTATTATTGCTTGGCCATGATCATGTCTTCCTGCCCCTATATCTGTTCTTGCTTTTGTGTCTTGTACTGTGTACTTTAGTCCTCACCTGAATCCTTCCTGTTGTTCAGGGCTCAGCACAAGTTTCCTCTTTCTCTGGAGCCCTTCCTGACCAGCGCCATCTCTTGGTATCTGAGCCCTTCAGTCTTCTGCTTGACGTGTGGGTGTCTTGTTAACTGAATGAAAATTTAAAATTCTTGTTTTATACCTGTTAGGTATCCTTTGTACACCTAGCACAATCACATGGAGTTGGCATTCAGTATATCTTTATTAAAATTATGTGATTCATTAAACATGTTTTATTTTCTTTTTTCATAGCATGTACAGTACACTCCTGGCTCATAACAAACTGCATATAAGAAATTTTGCTGCTGAAAGCTTTACTTTTTTGATGAGGAAGGTTAGTCTCATCTTTTATGTTCATTGCCGGTTAATCCTCAAGAATCTAATGATTAGAAACATATGTTTTTAAATGTGCTTTTATGGACTCTTTTCTTAAGATATAAAAACAGAAACCTGTTACTGGTTTGAGTTTATAACACTGTAAGGTTTAGTGTTTGCTCAGAAGTGTGGAACCATTTGAGTCACTCTTACTGGATTTGTGTGTATCTATACCAAAATTAGGAGCTCTGGTGGCATAGTGCCTAAGGCATTTGACTGCTAACCAGAAGGCTGGAGTTTCAAACCCCCCAGTCACTCCTCGGAATCTACTTCCATAGAGATACCATCTCAGAAACCCAATGAGGGGTCGCTATGAGTCGTTCATGCTGAAGAATTTTAGTACTCAACGGCAGTGAGTACTACTATACCATAATAATTGCCCTCTAATTTAAGTCAGTAAATACATAAACAGATTAACAGAAAGTTTTATAATAACTTCTCAGAAGGAACTCATTGCCTAATATGATTTATACTGATTCCTATAGTACATTTTAGAGGGCTTTCACGTTCCCTCGAGAGCTCTGGTGGTGGAGTGGTTAAGGCATTTGACTGCTAACCAAAAAGTTGGCAATTTGAACCCACCAGTCTCTTTGTGGGAGAAAGATGAGGCAGTCTGCTTCTGTAAAGATTTACAAGCTTGGAAACCCTATGGGGGCAGCTTTTCTCTGTCCTATAGGGTCCCTATGAGTTGGAATCAACAAGAGGGCAGTGGGTGGGTGACATCCCCAGGGTGGTGCAAATGGTTAACACGCTCATCTGCTAACTGAGAGGTTGGCAATTCCAGTTTACCCAGAGGCCCCTTGGAAGAAAGGCCTGGTGGTCTACTTCCAAAAGATTAGTTGTTGAAACCCAGTGAAGCACAGCTCTCTTCTGACACATGGGTCAACATGAGTCTGAATTGATTTGACAGCTGGTGGGTGGTTTGTTTGTTTTTTTTTTTTTTTTTTGGTGGTAAGTCAAAAACATGGATATTAAGTTTCTTTTTTAAGTATAAATCTACATAATTTACTTTAAAAGATAGAATGTTGCCTTATGTAATTTGGGTTGATAAATACCTTCATACCATACCAATGAATTAATCACTCTTATGTGACATTCCAAGTGATAGTACCCTTAGTTTGAGATCATTAGAAGCATCTATTCCTTTTAGAAATGTTTGCTAATTATATTGATGTATGAACATGTAAATTACCAAACAAGATTTCTTCATTTATATATGTTTATATTGTAAATATAATTGTCCGTTTTGTGTTTTAGGTTTCTGATAAAAATACACTTTTCAATTTAATGTTTTTTGACCTTGATAAGCATCCAGAAAAGGTGGAAGGAGTTGGACAGTTGCTCTTTGAAATGTGCAAAGGAGTTAGAAACATGTTTCATTCTTGTGCAAACAAGGTAAATAACTGGGTCAGGTGGGAGGGACACTCTGGGTCTATGTTCAGAGATTTAAAAGAGAACAGAATATAGTTATGCAAACTATGTGAGTGGGCTAGAATAAGTAGAAAGCCCTAAAAGAGCAGTGTTAACAATGCTTACCTAATGTGGGCCCTTAGTAATTGGATATTTTTCTTACTCACAATATCATTGCTGTCATGCTGGATACTAGGAGGTAATAATGTAAGTTGATTAATGGGTTAGGAAGGGGGCAGTTGGATGATAAAATTCCCTGTCCTTGTTAGAAAATTCCTTTTGGGATGCGTAACTAACTAAATCATCAAAACTCATGTTCGTGATTATTCCAGTGCAGATTTTAAGGTAGCTAATATAATCAGAGTGGTAAGTTTTAAAAATCAGTGTAATACTTAAAAATAAGGGTTTGCATTTTCATTTTATTGACTCTTGGATCCCCACAGGCAGTGAAATTAATTTTGCAAAAGCTAGGACCGGTTACTGAAACAGAAACCCAACTACCATGGGTCTTAGTTGGAGAAGCACTCAAAAACATGGTCAGATCTACTGCATTCTACATCTACAAGGAACATTTTGGTACATTTTTTGAATGCTTGCAAGTGAGTTCTGCTTTTTAAGATTCGTATGTAATAAGGAGTCTAGAGTTTGTTGTTGTCAGTTTAGCAGACCACTCCTGGAGATTATATTTTATAATTGTTTTCTTCATACTTTACACATGTGTCAGGCTTTCCCACCCCTAGCCTCCCACAGGACTGTTTTCATTTGGTGTCTTGTGATGCAGCAGAGAGTAGTCATTAGGAGTGCAGGCTTTGGAGGCAGGTTGCCTCTGTTGGAATCTTAGCTTTGCTACTTCCTGCTCATGTGCATTGGGAAAGTTACTTAAAATCTCTATTACTCAGTCTTCTCATATTTAAAAAAAAAAAAAACAACCCATTGCCATCAAGTCAGTTCTGACTCATAGCAACCCCCATAGGGTTTCAAAGGCTGTATGTCTTTACAGAATTAGATTGCCCCGTCTTCATCTCACAGAGCAGCTGGTGGGTTTGAACTGCTGACCTTCTCGTTGATAGCCAAATGCCTAACCTGTGCCATCAGAGCTCCTTGTGTGTTAAATAGGGGCAATAATAGTCCCTACCTCAGTATTGCTCTGAGGATTGTGAATAAATTACAGGTAAAACATGTAACAGCAGTGCACTCAGTAAATGTTAGCTGTTATTTTCATTAGTGATTCTTCATAAGTGTATCTTTTTCTTTTAATGCAAAAGATTGTAGAAAGTTAAACTCTGTCACACAATATTTTCATTGTTGGATTGACAGGTAGGTTTGATATTCTGTAGTTCTCTTTATTAAATCTTTCTTTTGCAGGAGTCACTCCTGGATCTACATACTAAAGTAACCAGAACTAACTGTTGTGAAAGTTCTGAACAGATCAAAAGATTGTTAGAAGCATATCTGATCCTTGTGAAACATGGGAATGGATCAAAGATAACCAGCCCTGTTGATGTTTGTAAGGTGAGTCCTCGTCTTCATTTGCTTAGAGTGTATTCATTAAAAGCTAATTTTAAATGCATCATTTTTCTTTTCTTTTACAGGTATTGTCTCAAACATTGCAAATACCCCATCTCTCCACATCCTGCCGGGAGACCCTTTTGGATGTAATTTCTGCTTTGATCCTAGGCGAGAATGTTTCCTTGCCAGAGCCTCTCATCAAAGAAACCATAGAAAAAGTAATTTACTCCAAAAATTGTATATTAATTCAGTAGTTAATAATACTTTGAGCATTGAGTAAGCCTCCTAGGGAAGATAAATGAAGCATGACAAATACTCTGCCATTAAGGAATTTGTTAGGGACATGTGAACTGCATGTTGTTATTGTTATGTGCTGTGGAGTGGACCCAACTCATAGCGACCCCTTCTTGGGTTTCCGAGGGGGTTTCCGAGGCAGTATCACTATGGAGGTAGATTGTCTCCGAGGGGGTTTCCAAGGCAGTATCACTATGGTAGTAGATTGCCCACCCTTCCTTCCGAGGAGTGGCTGGTGGATTTGAACCGCCAGCCTTCTGATTAGCAGTCAAGTGCCTTAGGCAAGGAAATAAGCAAAACAAGTTGTAACAAAAGCTAAATTGATTTAGCAAATATCAGTTAATTTGTGGGTATGGGCCTAAGTATTCCAGGGTGAACAAGTGGTTTTTTCTATTGCTTTTGGGGATGAGGGGGTTGAGATTACAGTGATTAATTCTGCCTGGGGTTGAGGATTAGAGAAGTCTGTCCAAAGGACTTATATTTGGGATAGTCCTTGAAGGTTAAATAACAGTCATCTAATCACAGAGTTTTGGTAGCAAAGTGCCTAAGGCACTTGACTGCTAACCAGAAGGCTGGCGGTTCAAACCCACCAGCCACTCCTTAGAAGGAAGGTTGGGCAATCCTACTTCCGTAGTGATACTGCCTCGGAAACGCAAGGAGGGGTCGCTATGAGTCAGGGCCGACTCGACGGCAAATAACAACACAACAATCACAGAGTTACAGATACTAGCAGATGATGGGAGTTTGGCAGTGGATATTGGTGATGGTTGTACAATATGATTGATGTCATTGATCTCACTGACTTGTACACGTGACAGGTAGAATTGGCAAATGTGTTATCTTTATTTTTACAACAATAATTTTTTTTAAATCAAAACACTAGGAGAGGGAATGGCGAAGACATAATGTTTATAAATTTACAGAGTCTAGACACGTGGATCCATAAGAAGATGTGATAGGATGTCAGCAAAGACTCCTCTTGGCTTTGAAAAGTTAGGTTGGAAATAGTCAGGGCTTTAGAAGAATTTTAAGCAGGGAAATGATTTGATAAGATATATATTTTAGAGAGTTTAGAATGTGTATTGGTGCAATGTAGGATTGAAGATGGAAGGAAGCAGCTAGGTTCTTAAGCTTTAAGAAGCGTAGCAGTGCACATCTTAAAACACAAACCCAAACCCATTGCCATTGAGTTGATTCCAACTCATAGCAATCCTGTAGGAGAGTAGAAGTGCCCCACAAAGCACAAAGGGCTGTAAAATCTTTGTGGGAACAGAGTACCACATCTTCCTTCTGTGGAGCGGCAGGTGGGTTCAAGCTGCTGACCTTTTGGTTCACAGTCAAGTGCTTAACCACTGCACCACCAGGGCTCTTTGACTCTTAGACAGGTGTAAAATAGTCCTCCTTATCTTTTCATGATTCTCTGGACTTGGGAAGGTATTGAGCATCTCTCAGGCATAGTCCTGTGTAACCAGTGGAGATGCAGCACCCTTTGCATCTGGGAAGTAATTTGGAGAAGGCTGAATGTAGGATAGATTGCTGAAGTATGTCTACCATTGCCTCACTCCAGCTGAGGAGGAGGGCCCAGTGCCTGTGTTTCACATCTGGGCTGTGCCTCACTGCACAAGATGCCAAATTCAAGAATCAAGTTCTTTGTCTCTCTTGACTACATTAGAGGAGCTCTGGTGGTGTAGTGGGTCAGGCATTTGGCTGCTAACCAGGTCAATGGTTCAAACCCACCTGCTGCTTCATAGGAAGAAGATGAGGCAATCTACCTCCGTAAAGATCCACAGCCTTGGAAACTCAATGAAGGTTTCTGTGAGTAGAAATCAACTTGATGGCAGTGGGTTTGTTTTTTTTTGGTTTTGACCACATTAACTTGTATCAAGCATCCTACTATTTCCTGCTTGCAACCTCAGGTTTGGGGTGTTTTTAATTCACAGAAATGGGGAAAATTATTTCTATATATTAATGTATTTTACTTGTGTTAATGTCTTTGTACCTGTGGTCAACAGACTTTTACGAGTGGATTTGAAAGACGTTTAATTTTGGATTTTTCTGAAGTCATGTTTGCTATGAAGCAGTTTGAGCAGGTAAGCCAGATAATAAGTTTTGAGGTTTTTTTTTTCTTTTTCTTTTTAAATCTCCCATGATAAAATAATCAAATTTGAAATCCTGAGGGATTTTTTTTTTAATTAAGAAATTATAATTCTAGGTTACATTAGAAAATTTGTTTCATGTTAAGACATTAAGAATGGTATTAGCCAACTTATTAATTTTTTAGGAAATTAGACAACTGTGGAGTAAAGTTAAAAGACCCACTTAAGGAACTTTTACATGGATTTAAAGCATAGAAAATAGTTTTTGAAAGAACTTGCATTGAGGAATATTGCAAATTCATTTCATTGGTGCAAAATAGATACTAGGTAGACATTTTTCTTATCAAATACCAAGTTAATTATATGTGTGTGTCCTCCCTTCCACCTCCATCAAACATTCGTATACCTAATAACCTTATATTGTACTTCATGGAACCCTATCTGTATCTATTCTGTCATTATTGCCATTAAGTCTTTAAAAACCAAGTATATTCTCATTATGTCTCAAAAAACCTTCTTTGTATGTGTCCTTGATCCTGTTTCTTTCTGCCCAGTGAGGGCTTTTTATCTCATTTTGGTTTTCTTAGCAACTGCCTCTTTTGTTTTTACCCTGACAAGATGTTTGATCTTTTTTTTTTTTTTATTTAATCTTAATTTTATGAAAGTGGTAAGTATAAGTTCATACTTTAAAGGGTCAGACAGGGCTAAAATCTTGATTTTCCCCTCCCGTGCTGCTTACAAGTACTCTACATCTAATGATTTTTAACTATTTCTTCCGTTGTTTACTTCATATTCTTAAATCTTCTATACTGCTTCTCCTTGATTTGTAAAGTTTAGTCCTTATCTGTAGACCTCCTCCTATGGTAAATGTATTTTGGTTCCTTTCCAATCCATATCCTTCCCTTATTCTCCTGATAGAGTTATAGAACAAATTTTGATTGAATCCATATTTGCCATATACTTATTTTATATAAACGAGTATTTTATGATTGCATACCTTTTTTTTTTTTCCCTTGGAGTTAATAACTGCCTCATTCTTTAAAAAGAAAAAAAAAAATTGGTAGTTGTTTTCTTTGAATATCATCTGGTCAGTGAGTCTGTCCTCCAACGGTTTTATAAGATACCTTTCACATAGTAAATTATCAAATAATTTAACAATTCAATTTTTCTTTCTTAGAGACCTTCCTCCTAGAGTAAGACCAGGCTGAATGGGTTGCTTTCTAAACCTACTGCACAAATGTCGTATTAGGACTTCCTTTTGCTTCTCTCCTACTTCCTGGTTACCATATCTTCCTCTTTTTATGGTTTATTCTTTTACTTTGATAGAAGACATTTCTCAGAGGTTCCTAAGAAAGGGTGAATTGAGATAAGCTTTTGAGGTTTAGTATGTTTGAAAATGTCTTTATCCTCTTCTCACACTCTATTGGTACTTTGGTTGGGTATAGAATTCCATGTTTATATCATTTTCCCTCAGAGTTTTGCAAGCATTTCTCCATTTTCTTCTACTTCCCATTATTTTTACTGAAAGGTTTATTGCCATTATGATCCCTAATCCTTTATTTATGATCTATTTCTATCTGAAAGTATGAGAATCTTCCCTTTATTCTCACTCACTCTCACTGCCATCGAGTCGATTTCAACCCATAGTGACCCCTGCTTGGGTTTCCAAAGCAGTATCTCTATGGAAGTGGATTGCCCAGTCTTCCTTCCGAGGAGTGGCTGATGGGTTTGAACTGCCAGCCTTCTGGTTAGCAGTCACATGCCTTAGGCACTATGCCACCAGAGCTCCTTCCCTTTATTAAAGATTTTAATATTATCATAATATATAATAATAGAATTTATATCTGTTAATAAGTATGATTTCCTTATTTTTAGCTTTTTCTACCAAGCTTTCTCTCATATATTGAGAATTGCTTCTTGATTGATGATACTGCAGTCAAAGATGAAGCTCTGGCCATTTTGGCCAAACTTATTCTGAACAAAGCACCACCTCCCACTGCTGGTTCAATGGCAATTGAAAAGTACCCTCTGATTTTCTCACAACAAGCAGTGGGGTAAGTTGTATCTTTTGTTCCTTTATTTATTGGTAAATGTACCCATTTAAAATACATCAAGAACACTATAAAAAATGAAGATCTGTATGTATTAACTGGAAAGAAGTTCATGATATAGTGTTACTTGAAAAAAAGCAAGTTAAGAAATTGTATATATAATATGATTTCCTTTTACCTAATTAAAAAAAGTATATAAGCATATACATATATATGAATATACGAAGCTGTTAACTTTGTTTACATCAAGAGAATGGTAAAGAAAAGAGGTGACTACATATTTTTTCAGTATTTTATTTAAAAATAATTGCAGATTGTAAGAAATAGTCCTGAGAGATCCTGTGTACCCTTCATCTAGTTTCCCCAATGGAAGCATCATGAACAAATTTTCTGTAATATCAGAACTAGGAAATTGACATTGATAAAACCCACCTACTTTATTCTGATTTCACTAGCTTTGCATGCAGTCATTTGTGTGTGTGTGTTTATTCTATGCAGTTTTATTACATGTGTAGATTTGTATAACCATCACTTCCACAAGATTCTGAACTGGCCCTTCACCACAAGGATTTCTCATGCTTTCTTTTAATAGCCACACCCAGCCACGCCTGTCCCTAACCCCTAGCAACCACAAACCTGTTTTCCATCTCTATAATTTTGTCAGTTCAGGAATGTTATGTACATGTAATCATACCATATGTAATCTTTTGAGACTGATTTTTTTCATTCAACATAATTCCTTTGCAGTCCATCCAAGTTGTTGGCTGTATCAGTAGTTTATTCCTTTTTGTTGTGATTAGTATTCCATGATATGGATGTTGTTGTTGTTGTTGTTGTCGTTATGTGCCGTTGAGTCAAACCCGACTCATAGCGACCCCTCCTTGGGTTTCCGAGGCAGTATCACTACGGAAGTAGGATTGCCCAACCTTCCTTCCGAGGAGTGGCTGGTGGGTTTGAACCGCCAGCCGCCGTCTGGTTAGCAGGCAAATGTCTTAGCCACTATGCTACCAGAGCTCTAGTATAGTTTATTTAATCATCCACCCATTGGAAGACATTTAGATTGTTTCCAGTTTTTTGTCTATTAATAAAGAAGGTAGGAGCTCTGATAGCGTAGTGCCTAAGGCACTTGACTGCTAACCAGAAGGCTGGCAGTTCAAACCCACCAGCCACTCCTTGGAAGGAAGATTGGGCAATCTACTTCTATAGTGATACTGCCTTGGAAATCCAAGGAGGGGTCACTATGAGTCGGATTCTACTGGACGGCACATAACAACAATAAAAGTTATGTGAATGTTGATATACCTGTTTTCATTTCTCTGGAATAAATGTCCAGAAGTGCAATTACTTGATTGTATGGTAAGTGCATGTTTAGTTTTCTAGGAAACTGCCATGCTCTTTTCCAGACTGAATATACCATTTTACATTCCCAACAGCAATGTATGAGTGATCCAGTTTCTCTATATCCTTGCCAGCACTTGATATTATCACTGTTTTTTTTTTTTTTTTAACATTCTTGTAGGTGTGTTATACTGTCTTATTGTGATTTTAAATTGTATTTCCCTAATGACTAATGCCACTACTTGTCAGTTTGTGAAATTGTGGTGTCTTACATATTACTGTGATACTGGAAGCTGTGCCACTGGCATTTCATATATCACTGGGTCACACATGCACATATCACACATGTCACAGTGGACAGGTTCCACTGGAACTTCCAGACTAACACAGACTAGGAAGGAGAACCTAGCAAGCTCTTTCTTAAAAAACTGGCCAGTGAAAGCCTTATGAATAGCAGCGAAACATTGTCCAACATAGTGCTGGAAGATGAGCCCCTCAGTTTGGAAAGCACTCAAAACATGACTGAGGAAGGGCTACCTCCTCCAAACAGTTGACTTTAATGACATGGGCAGAGTAAAGCTTTTGGGACCTTCTTTTGCTGGTGTGCCATGACTCACAATGAGAAAAAGCTGTAAACATTCATTAATAACTGGAATGTGGAAAGTACAAAGTATGAATCTAGGAAAACTGGAAGTTGTCAAAAATGAAATAGAATACATAAAGTTCATTATCCTAGGTGGTGGTGTTAGCTGCCATCAAGTTGGTTCTGATCCATAGCGACCCTATGTACAAAAGAACAAAACACTGCCTGGTTCTTCCTCACAATCACTGCCTGCTTTATCCCATTGTTGCAACCACTGTGTCAGTCTGGCTCGTTGCGGATGGTCTCCTTTGTCACTGACCCCTACTGTACCAAGCACGGTCTTTCTCAGGGACTAGTCCCTTTTAACAAAATGGCCAAAGTATGAGGGACAAAGTGGCCATTCTCACTTTTTATTTCTTTTACCTGTGTTGTGGTGAAAACATACACAAGACATTTGCCAACATAACAACTTCCCCATTGATAGCTCAGGGGCATTCCTGACATTTTTCATGTTGTGCCACCATTACTGTATCCTTTTCCAAAATATTCTACCACCATTAGCATAAACTCAATGCTCTACAAACAAAAGCTTCCCCTTTCCCCGCTCCCTCCTACCCCTGGTAACGACTAATAATCTTCAGTTTCTATATAAGTGTGTGTGTGTGTGTATTTTTTTTTCCCCCAACCTATCGAATTTAGCCTCCCCTCCCCTCACCTCCCATCCCTGATAACGAACAAAGAAATTTGCTTCTATGTATAAACCTTTTCTTGACTTTTTACAGTGGTAGACTAATACAATATTTGTCCTTCTGTGATTGATTTATTTCACTCAGCATGATGTCCTCCAAGTTCGTCCACATTATGAAGTGTTTTGCAGATTCTACATTATTCTTTAGGGTTGCACAGTGTTCCATTATGTGTATGTGTTGTTGTTATTGTTGTTGTCATGTGCCGTCAAGTTGGACCCGACTCATAGCAGCCCCTCTTTGGGTTTTCAAGGCAGTATCACTACGGAAGTAGATTGCCCAACCTTCCTTCCAAGGAGTGGCTGGTGGATTTGAACCACCAGCCTTCTGGTTAGCAGTCAAGTGCCTTAGGCACTATGCTACCAGAGCTCCTTATGTGTAGGTCACACAGTTTTTATCCATCCCTCGTTTGATGGGCACTTAGGTTGTTTTCACCTCTTTGCTATTGTAAATAGTGCTGCAATGAACATAGGTGTGCTTATTATCTGTTCGTGTCCTGCCTCTCACTTCTTTAGGATATATTCCTAATAATGGGATTGCTGGATCAAATGATATTTCTAACTTTTTAAGGAATCACCATACTGGTTTCCACAGTTGTTATATCATTTTACAATCTCACCAGCAGTGTATGAGAGTCCCAAACTCTCCACATTCTCACCAGCATTTGTTATTTTCTGTCTTTATTAAACTTTGCTATTAGTGCTGGGGTGAGATGGTATCTCATGGTTGTTTTGATTTGCATTTCTCTAATGGCTAATGATCAGGAACATTTCTTAATGTGTTTGTTGGCTGCCTGGATATCTTCTTGGGTGAAGTGTCTATTCATGTCTTCTGCACATTTTTTAATTGGATCGTTTGTCTTTTTGATGTTGAGGTGCTAGAGTTTTCTATAAAGTTTAGAGATAAGTCCTTTGTCTGATATGTCATTGCTGGATATTTTTTCCCATTCTGTAGGTTCTCTTTTTACTCTTTTGGAGAAGTCTTTTGATGCACATAAGAATATAATTTTTAGAAGGTCTCAGTCATCTATTTTATCTTTTGCAGTTTGTACATGTTGGATTATGCTTGATAGTCTATGTATGCCATAAATTGGAGCCTAAGTTTGCCCCTGTTTTTCTTTGAAGAACTTTATACAAAAATGTTTTATATTCAAGTCTGATCCATCAGTAGTTAACTTTTTGTGTATGGTGTGAGGTATGGATCTTGTTTCATTTTTCTGCAAATGGATATCTAGTTTTGCCAGCATCCTTTGTGAAAGATACTATCTCTTTCCATTTAATAGATTCCAGCCCTTTGTCAAAGATCCGCTGACCGTAGGTCAATGGATTGATTTCTGGGTTCTCAATTCTGTTCCACTGATCTGTGTGTCTGTTGTATCAATACCAGGTTGTTTTGACAAGTGTGGCTGTCAAGTAGGTTTTGAGATCTGGGAGTGTGAGACCTCCTACTTTACTCTTCTTCTTTGGTAATTTTTTTTTATCTAAGGTCTCTTTATTTTCCATATAAAATTAGTGATTGTTTTTCCCATGTCTTTAAAGAATGTTGATGGGATCTGGGTTGGGATTGCATTGAATGTATAGATTGCTTTAGGTAGTATTGACATTTTCACAATGTTCAGTCTTCCTATCCATGAGCGTGGTATATTCTTCCATTTGTGTAGATATCTTACAGTTTCTTGAAGATTGTTTTGTAGTTTTCTTTGTATAGGTCTTTTGTGTTCCTGATAAGATTTACTCCCAAGTGTCTTATCTTTTTGGTAGTTATTATAAGTGGTATTGATTTCCTTATTTCCTTTTCTGAGACCTCTTTGCTGGTGTAGAGGAATTAAGCTGATTCGTGTATGTCAATCTTGTATCCTGCCACTATGCTAAATCTTTCAATAAGTTCCAATGGTTTTCTTGCTGAGTTTCTTGGGTTTTCTATATATAGGATCACATCATCTGCAAATAGCAATATTTGTACCTCTTCCTTACCAATTTGGATGCCTTTGATTTCCCTTTCTTGTCTCATTACCCTGGCTAGGATTTCCAATACGGTGTTGAATAGAAGTGGAGATAGAGGACATCCTTGTCTGGTTCCTGTTCATAAGGGGAATGGTTTCAGTCTCTCTACATTAAGAATAATGTTGGGTGTTGATTTTGCATATATGCCCTTTTTTATGTTAAGGAATTTCTCTTCTATTCCTATTTTTCTGAGAGTTTTTATCAGGAACAATGTTAGATTTTTATCAAATACCTTTTCTTCATTGATTGATATGATCACGTGATTCTTTTCCTTTATTTTACTTATGTGGTGGATGATTGTTTTTCTAATGTTGAACCATCCTTGCATACCTG